AGCTTATTGCGATATATAAAGAGCTCCCTATAAATAGGAGATATAAGTCTAAGTATAATTTTAGTGCAATTCCAGGTCTAATTTTAAGTAGTATGCAATTCGTAGCTTTGGGTTTTGGTATTTTGGTGTTCTGGCACTCGAGTGCTCGAGTGCTCGAGTGTTTTGACCCTTCACCGCCTAAAATCCTGCCCTAACTCTCGCCGTGGAAAGCAAAACATTTCCTGGTGCACACTTCCCCAAGAAGCCCCGCAGGTTTCAGCTGAAGCCACTCCAAAATTTGGCCCCCTCGAGCAGCAGCTTGAAAATCGCCAAATCACCAAGCAAGATTGAGAAGCCGCAAAGTCTAAATCGGGAGAATAAAAATGGAAGCCCGAAAAACTCGACTAGGAGGTCTAAATTGACTGTCGCCCAAGCTTATCAAGTGAGTGCTACTATCGCGCCAGTAACACCTCTCAAAAAGTATGCCCAATCCCAAAAGAAATTCAATCTGCCATTGGTTGGAGAATTTAACACTTCCTTCCCCTCAGTAATATTTGGAGATCATGAGCAACTTAGCAAGTCGGGATCTCTAAGATCGGCAGAGCTGATGAACACATTCGCATGTGGGAAAATGATTTCGACGAACACAAACGGGCACAGCCCTCTCTGTTACCCGTCGTAGAGCAGAAGCTGAGGGAAGCAACAGAGATACGAGCAATGATGAATGAAAGCTTGGAAGGAAACTATAGAGTGGGGTGAGATCGGTTGCGACGTTTAATTCGTGGCACCGGCTAACTCTTGACAGAGAACCTACCCCAGCGGCAACAGCCACAAAGCCCTCCGTGAAGCTCTTCAATGGGAGCTCAACACATCTAAGTTCGAGCCTGAAGCGGCCAACATTTGCTGTGTGATGGAAGGCTACAAATCTGGCACTATTACCTGGCCGCCAAATTGTGGACACAGCCTCCCACTACAACGAGTTCACAAAAGACAGATCCGCCCGTCTCGAGCGGTACTTCGAAACCTACTGCCCAGGCTGGTTCTTCTACGAAGCCCCGCTGAAAATTCACCCAAGCATCAAGCCCAAAATGGGTGCCTCCATTGCAATCAGACGAGGCAATACATTCTACGCACTTGAGGGCTACTACATAAACCAAGGATTTTGGAAGCAAGCCAACTTTGTCAAACGAACTAGCCATCGTGCTAATTCTGGGAGCTCTAAGGCTTAAATCTACTAATACCGGGACCTTAATAGGCTAGGGGCACCCCGTTAAGCGCCTCCAGCACGCGACAGCGTACGAAGCGTAAGCGTATACCTTGAGCGTCGTGCGTTGAGGATATACTTTTTTAAGCGATTACAAGGGGCAAGAGAGGGACGTGCTTCTTGCCTGCCTTTTGTACGCGTGCCGGGGGCTAAAGAATAGCCGAAAAAGAAAACCTTACTTTACGATAAATCTGCTAAAATTAGCTTGCTAAGCGCGGGGGAAGGGGGCTAGAAGGGAATCAAATTTTCAATTGCATAAGCACCCTCTCTGGGCAGACCCTAGAACGGGTGCTTATGCATGTAAAAGAGAGTCGAGATCAAAAATTACTCCTTTGGGCGTATACCCATGTTTTAGGAATGCCACGCGAGCAAAACAGGGGTGTTGCAGGGGTTGGCAGGGGCACACTGATTTTCTTTTCAACGGGGATGGCCAACATTTCGCGTCCACATGGCCCAACGTTTCTCCGTTGTCTGTTCACAGCCAATCATTTCATCATCTATCAAGGATCTATACCCGAAAAGTAATCGCTCCAGGCTCCATCATAGCAGATGTAAACAACGTCCTCATCGACCTCTCAAAGAGCTTCTTTGGAATCAAGTTCATGTCTTGAACTCCTTTCGTTTCTCTTTCTCAAATATATACTCTTCGCATAGCAATCGTTACTGACCTTGGCATTAGAAACACCTCCCCTCAATCTGTTAATACACATTACCCCGCCAAGCCCAACATATAATGGCAGACTCCGAAAATCATCCAACTATCATAGTCGACGACCGGCCGGTAGCAGTTAGAAGGAAGAGAAGCATCATTGTCGGCCCAAACCTTCGTTCACGAATCAATTCTCATGCCTCGAAATCTGGATGCCATAGCCTGTCAACCCCTCCAGCTACACCCAAGAGATCCAAGAAACGTGTACGATTCTCAAACCCAAGACCAGGAACAGAACTCGAATCCGCATCTTCCGGACTCACACCGTTCGTACGTCGAACAGAACAACCCTCTCCACAACACTGCCTCCAGTCGGTCATTATTCTGCACCTGCAACTCTTTGGAATCGCGGCGATTATGGCATACCGATATCTGGGACCATACAGTTCGAACCACTGCGACAGATACTTGATGGGCGGCTTAAGAGGAGGCTGAGGAGACATAGGTTGAGTGACGAAGCAAACAATATTGAGTTTGAAAACAGACGGGAAGTGCAATTTCTACGAGCGGAGGTCGAACGACTCAGAAGCAGTGTGTCAAATGAATAGATTAGATTAGAATACCGGCCAGTAATCTAATCTATTCATCAAATATTCTCACTAATCATATTCTAATCAGATTCTAATCAAGGTAATCATGAATATTCATAAATACTTTAAATACTTTGCAGGTAATATTACACGTAACATGCACGTAAGCAGCTAACCAAATCGGGTAGGGCTCCGGGTGCTCCCGACCTAGCGCCACCTCGCCACCCAATTAGAAATAGTAACGCTTGGTAAGCGAACCGAAGCTTAATAATCCTTCTAGAATTACCTCGACTTAATTATTTAGTAATATTAGTAATTCTAGAGCTAAATATTAGAAGTTAAAGAACTAGAATCTTTGAAATAAGTAGATTCTAGATAATTAGAAGAAGAACTTAGAAGCCTTTAGAATATTAGAACTTTCTATAAAAGTATATTAATTTTCTTAATTTTTATTTCTTATCTATATTTTATTTATATATAAAAACTTAATTACTATTTCTATTAATATATTTTCTATTATAAATATATTCGATTATATTTAATATATTCGAAAATATCTTAAGGATCTTTAATTAAGTTTAACTTAACTTAAAATTATTCTGAATTTAAGTTAAAGCCTATTAATAAATAAGCTTCTCTTTTTAAAAAGAGCTACTTAAGAAAGACTTTAGATTCTATATAAGAGAATTCTAAAAAGACTTATATATATACTATAAGATACTTAGTTCGAGGTTATTTATAAGTTATTATATCTATATATAATTTTTATTTAATTAATATATATATAATAAAACTTAAATAAATTAATAAATATATATTCTTATAAGTAATTATTATATTTATTTTCAAAACTTATATAAATTTATAGATTTTGAGACTTTTAAAGAAAAACAAGAATAATAGTAAGTTATTTTATATTAAATAAAAAACTAGATTACTAATATATTTAATAAGTAAAAGTAAAGCTTCTAGTCAAGTCTTATAAATAACTATAAATAGCCTTTTTAATAAGTAATCTAAAAATAATAGAAGAAAGCTTTACTATTAATTATTTTAAGGAATTATTATTAACTTTATTATTTAATAATAATATTTCTTTTCGAACTATTATTATATCTAGTTTTAAAAAACTAATATCTTATTTAAATTAGTAAGTTTTTATTAAATTCCCTCTTATATATATATATATTAATATTTAAAGATATTTATAAATAAGCTTAATTTATATTATATTAAAAAAAGTTTAAATATTAAAGAAGAATTAAGAGAAAATATTAAATCTTAAGGAATTTTCTCTATTACTTTAGATATTTAAATAAGTATAAATTAAAAGGCCTTTCTTGATATTATTATATAAATTAATAAGTTATTAATTAATTAATTTTTTTTAAAAAATAAACTAATTTTATTTTAGATATTTTATAAATAAAGATTTTATATTAAAGTCTTATTTATTAGCTATAAAAGACTTAAATAATATATATTCTGGTATTTATATACTTTCTGTTTTATTAGAAGCTTTAAAATAATATAATATTAAATATAATATTACTAGGTAAGTAATATAAATCTTAGTTTTTAAAAAATAATTACTAATATATTTTATTTAGTATTACTCGAGATAATACTAGCTTAAATAATACCTTATTAAAGGCTTTTATAAAGTATTATAATAAAAAAGGCATTAAATTTTAAGGAGATATTTCTTATATAGCTTATATATTAAACTTAGTAATTTAAGATATTTTAAAAGCTTTTATTAAAAATAATTATAATACTTCTTATTCTATAGATTAATATAAGTAAGAAATAGAAGAACTTAAAGATAGAGAAGAAAATAAAGAAAAAGAATAAATAATAAGTAAGTTTCCTATATAATTTATAAGAGATTTATTAATAATTATAGATTTATAAATTTAAAGAAAGATTAGAAAGACTATTATAGGTCTTAAATATAACTAAGAAAACCGACGATTATTAGAAGCTCAAATTAAAGCTTTTAATATAGAAAATACTCGATTCTCTTAATTTAATAAGTAATTATTTATTTATTTATTTAATTATTAATTAATACTAATTATTTATAAATTAAAAAATATAGTAGTCTTTAACTTATTATATATTAAAGAACTTTTTATATATATATAAAGCTATTAAAGTAATTATTAATAGTTCTAATTTAAAGGCTTTTAAAAATAAAAGTCTTATTTTAACTAATATTAAATTTACTTATTTAAATAATATTTTAAATATAATTTCAATATTTATTAAAGCTATAACTAAGTTATAAGCCGAAAATTATCCGACTATATATTATATTATATCTGAGGTATATAAAATATATAATAAACTCGAAAATTTTAAAAAGAAATTTAAAATAAGTCTTTTTTTAAATTCTTCTTATATTATTAATAATATTATACTAATATTTAATAAAATAAAGTATTTACAGATACTATTAATAAAGATATAACTAAGCTTCGAAAATATTATTCTCAAACAGGTATTTTAGATAATAAAAGTAAAGCTTTATATTTAGTTCTTATTCTTAATTCTCGAATTAAATAAGAAGAATTAGCTAGTATTAGCTTATCTACTAGTATATCTTCGGATATATATAATAGATTAAAGACTAATTATAATATATAAGTAATTCCTTTTATTAGTTTTTAATAAATTAATAATTAATTTTTAATTTAGATATAAATATAATTATAATATATCTCAAGCTAGATCCGATTTCTCGGATCTTAGTATAGCCGATTCTGACTCCGATAACTTAGATATATATATTACTAATTTGTTCTCTAATATAGGAGACGAATTAATAACTTATTTAGAAGAAAAGAGAGAAAATAAAAAAGTAAGTAAAATTTATTTAAATTCTACTAAATAACTAGCTAATATTTTCTTAATATATTTTAATATATTAGTACTAATATAAGTATAGACTAAACTTTTAGACTACTAGAAGTCTAATACTACTAGATTTCCTGTTTTAGCTTTAATAGCTAGGAAATATTTGGGAATTCCGGCTTCTTTAGCCGCTAGCAAGAGATTCTTTTCTTAAGGCGCTCTTATTATATCTAAATTATATAATAGACTTAATAAGAGTACCTTTGAGCTAATATCTTGCTTAAAAAGCTGGGGGCTATTTAAAGATAAATTAGAAGAGATTAAAAAGGAAGAGTAAAGGGGAAAAAAACAAGATTTCGAGGAGGATAATTCGTTTATTATTCTAGAAAATTAATATTTAGCTAGTATTTTATAAGCCCTAGCTTAGTTTAAATAGGGTTGCTTAATAAATACTCTAATTATTTAATAATTATTAAGTAAACCTTGATTTATTATAGTTATATAATAAGTAATTATTTATATTTATAAATATTTATAAATATATATTCTAATCTAATTAAATTTTTTAAGTATTCCAGTAATTATATTCTAATTAAGTTAATTATAAATATTTATAAATATTCGAAAATTCTTAATTACTTTTTTAATATACTGGGCTTAGCTTACTTTTCTTTTTTACTAGGTTCTTAATTAGTTATACTAGCTCTACTAGTTTTACTAGTAGTATATTATATAGCAATTGCAGGCTAGTTACTCACGTGACTATATATACTGTATTTAGCTCTGGCTATCCGTACCACACCTCTCTTTATCTGAAATCTGATTATATTATAATACAACTGCATTTAATATAATATAGTACTAATAGTAGGCTTTATTAAATTAGCTCTAATTTTATTAGTTAGATCCGCCCTAGTCTTACTAGTTAGATTTAATTAAGTTATTACTGAGATTATAATAGAAGCTTATTTTCTAGACTTATTATAGAAGCCGGAGAAAGATTTATTATTATAATATTCTTTAATAAGAATTTCGGAAATATTAAAAATATACTATTTAGTCTTGAGATTATTAGCTAATAGTAGCTTAAAAACCAATTCTTCAGGTTCCGAAATAGCTTTAATATACTTAAATACCTTAGTAATATCTAATTTAATAAATATACTAGTATTCTAATACTTTTTTATTTTTAATATACTCTAAAATAACTTTATTAATTAACTAAATAGCCTTATATACTAAAGCTTTTATTTTTAAAAAAATATAACTTTTTATAAATATTTTTATAAATATTTTTATTAAGATTATTATAGATATTATTAATATATTAGCTAAAGGCTTTATTATATAATGTAATTTTATTCTAATTCTTGGTTTCTAGACTATTTACTATAGTCTTAAATTTATTAAGCTTCTTTTATCTATTTTTAATAATGCCTTTAACTATATTCTCGAATTTCCTATTATTAGTTTAATAATTCTTTAGCTTCTCCTTAATTAATTCCTGTCTAGTTCTGTCTCTAATAAAGGTTTCCTATTTTAAGAGCTTATTATATATATTACTTAGCTTATTAAGGATATTTATATTAAATTCAATAATTATAGCTATCTTTTCTGGTATTAGTAGGCCTTTTATAACTATCTAAGCTCCCTTAATACTTTAAACTTTAGTACTATTAATTTATAGGCTTTTAGTAATATTATAGCTTATAAGAACTAGCTATTATACTTTATTAGATTAAGAAATCTATTCTTTAGCTATTTTATTATTCTTAAAGAAATTATATAGGTATTATTAGTATAATAGTTATAAGTTATAAAATTAAAGATTCTTGAAATTATAAGGATTTTTTTTAAATATTTTCTAAAATAAAAAATAAATTAAAACAGACTTAAATTATATAAAAGTATTATATATATTCGAGTTTTCTTTCTTTTTAGTAAAGAAATAAAGCTAAAATAGTAATATATATAATAGGGAAAGTAGATATAATAATTAGATATATTTAAGGTAATATAATTATAAATTAGAAATAATTATAGAAAATAAAATATAGAATTAAGCTATTATTATAAAAAGAAATACTAATATATATATTTAAGAAAATATAATCTAGGAAATAATTAAAGTAAATTAAATTAAATAGTAATAATAGGAAAATAAAAAGATACTATAATAGA